GTCAAGCAAGTGGAAAGCTCTCTCGGAGGGATTCCCCCAGACGCTTTGACATTTTACAGAGGGGGAAACTGAGTCTTTGTGGGAGCAATAATTATTGAATCACTACTATGAGCTTGGCACAGTGAAGATGGCCTCTCATTAATTATCCCCCTCAACCTCCCAATAACAGGGTGACACAGGTGTTCCCCCATACCACGGCTGAGGACACTGAGGTCAGAGGCAGTGACTTGCACAAGCTGCTCAGGGCCCTGAGGGCTGACTTGGCACTGGGTCTGCTTCCCAGCTCATGGGTTCTGTGCAAAACCAACACAACAACAATCATTTCATCTCAGATGATTTCTTAATTTGACTTTTAAACCAGAGGAGTTTGAGTGTTATAATTCATGTTACTTGGGTACTACCTTGACATCCAGAAAATAAAGAAACCTCCTCTAGCCCCCAGATTTCTTCTCCTGTGTGAAGCACAGCAGCTTTGTGGGTGAGGCAGGGCTACGGTGGGAGGTAGATATTACTTCAGGCAGCGCTGGGCTGTGGAAGGTCTCTGGATGACGTGGCCAGCTACTGGGGGTTTCTGCCTCTCCTTCCCAGCACCAGCTCTCAGTTCAGTTTTTTTCTCATAACACACAGACTCCTTTCCTGGCAAGGAACTTTCTGAAATTGATTGAGAAGGAGGGTGATAGCAGGGAAAAGGTAAAATCCCTGGCCACTGAGAAGTTGACTGGGTTGGAGGGGAGAGTGGGAAGAAGGGGACACAGCTGCTGTTCCCCGGAGAGCAGGTCCTGGGTGAAGAGGTGCTCAGGGGCTGAATGATGGGCTCCGCCTCAGTGTCTGGGTATCTTCAGAGGATTCCAGGCGAGATAAGGCTCAGGCACGATCCCAAGGCAACAACTTGTAGGACAAGTTTTGAGCAAAAGAACATAACTTGTTTGGGTTTTGTTCTAACTCATTAACACCCCTCTTACTCTCCTCCCCAGCAACCAGAGCCCACCCCCATGTGCCATCTGGCCATGCCTTCTCTTGCTGACTCTCCTGCCCCCTCCCCAGGCACCCAAGCCCGTCCTCAAAGACCATGGCCCAGCCTGGGAATGTAGGCCACCCTTTCTCTCTCTGCCACGTCGCTCTCCAGTTTCCACTGACACTTATCGTGCCTAATAGTTGCCAGGAAAGTAACCTGGCTTCCAATGAGGACTTCACGTAAGCCATTTACATTCTAAAACTGGTACTGGTAGATCTGAAAGGCTGTGGGCATTATCACAGAGAATTTTGCCAGAGACCCTGTAGACCATTATTTGTAGTTATCCCTACTATATTTATCTTAAGTAGATCTGAAGACAAAATCAAATTTGATATTCCAAGTGGCACTGGATTATAAAGCATCATGTTGTACCCTCCATGTAGCCTGGAGAACTAATTACAAGAGGCGTCTGCTTGGTAAACAACTGAACTTGAGAAGTTGTGGCAGGATAACAGAGGCTTGCTGCAAACCGGCGAGTCCTATGAGGAGAATTGTATGGACAATTAGAGATAGATAGACAGGATGGTATTCGTTTGGTTGGAAATATCCCCTGTCGTGCATGCAGCTCATTGGGAACATGCTAAATCAGTAGAGGTTTGTTTCCCCTTGAATTCAGACAAAGACCTAGGAGACTGAGGATGAAGGTGAAGTTCAGACCTCACTGGTCAGAGTAGATGAAGTGGATTGAGTAACATTTCTTTTGTTGTCAATGTCTGAGCTTAATACAAAAAAAAAAAAATCTGAAAAAAGGCACTACCAGGATTGGGCTGGCTGTCCCTTCAAAGATGTCTGCCCTAGGTGTCTGTGGGGGGAAGCGAATGGGTCACCTTCCATCCAAGGTGACTTCGCAAGTGGTAACGAGCTTTCATAGCCATCTCAGGATGCACCCAGTCTGTTACTCTGGCTGCACATTGGAAAGAGCTCCCATGTCAGGGGCCAAAAAATCACTGTTCTTTTTCTCCCTTTGTCATTACGATTCGGAGAGACAGTGGGAACTGGTGCAAAAGGGACCCTGACCTCACCCAGCATCTGCCTGTGAACTTGACACCCCACAGTTGTGTTGTGGCAGGGATCACATTTCCAGTCTCACTTGAAAAAGAGAACTTTGCAGCCAGTGAAATGGCCACCCCCTGTGTCTGAAGGGCTAGGGGCTTACCGTGCGAAAGGATATAGAGAAGGAAGAACGCCATCATTGTTTTTTTCCTGATGGAGTCAGTGGTGAGAGGATTAGGAAAACATCGAGAAACCTGTGGATCCTGGTTTTCATCCTCAGAAACACAAGAGGCCACCTGGTCAGTCAACAAGCCCAATCCGCTATGATTTGATGGAGAACAACTGGAAAAGTGCTCTCCTCCCCATGACCTAGGAAGCTGGACTAATCAATGTTTATCTTGTTGAGCCATTCGGCAAAGGGGCCTCCGTAAACTCTTTGCTCACTGGGTAGCCTGAGAATTTAGACTAAAGAAAATAGTTATAATCTATGAGTTAGCTTAGAAAATTGCCTTTTAGAAAATGCATCCTTTGAGTGGGTGGAGAATCTAAGAATAGATTAATAAAGTGTACTCCCTAACCAGAATCTCAAAGCTTTCTTCTGGAAAATTAAAATTAACGACCCCAGTCATGAACCACAGCGAAGGACATGGTGGGTATGCGGCCGAATTCTCAGAACTGTAATTTGTATCCTTGCAATCATGCAATTCATGATTCAGAAACACACTTTCCACATACTCAGATATGTTCACTTGTTGCTTGTCTTAATTGCAAATTCATTTGCCAGTGAGCCTACTGATGGAGGTGTTTTAAAAACGGCTCATTTATGGACGTTGCTGGCACCACTGGAATTGAAAGCGATGCCAGCCAAATGCCATTTCAAATAAAAATCATTTTTCTTTTGGCAGCAGGAACGCTCCGAGCTGCACAGTAGCTCTTGATTTATGAGCTGTGCTCTGTGATCCTCAGACTCCCACGATCTGTGCAGGTCCCTTTAAGGAACTGGGTTGGAAGTGCTCAATAGGAAAACAACCCTATCTCCAAATCTGCTTCTGAATGTGCCCATTCTCCCACCTCCAGTGACCAGGTGAGAGAGTGGAGACTGAGAACCCCTGGGCTGCCATCTCTTAATGAGAAACCGGGCTGGAACCTGCAAGGAACAATATATGTGGTGGACAAAATTTGCAGAAATATCTTCCATTCAGCATTCCAGTAAGCGTTTTCCCAGCCCTGGGGCACATCCTGAAATTCTGCGGTGACCTCCCCAAAACACGACTGAGGGCTTCTCACAGCAGGCGGGTCGGTGAAGCGATCGGAGGCGGGTGGATGGATGGACGGACAGAGAGACACTCGACCGTGCTTTGGCGGGATTTTTTGGCCGAGTGTCCATCCCCACCGTGGTCCATGGAACAAAGTGTTTATTGTAAAGTGGGCCCGATCCCTGGAGAGGAGGAAAAACGATGCCTTGTGACGGGAGGGGAATTAACTCTTTCCTCCCTTTGGCAGCTGGGAGGACTGGACAGATCCTCAGTGATCGGGTCCTCGGTTGGGTTCAAGGGGGAGAGGGGTCTCCATGCCAGGAATAGCAATGACTCCGGCTGCATCTTTCAGTGCAGAGTGGCAGGGTCCTGGCAAGTGCCCCTCCTTCTGATGCCTCCTCCCCCCGGCAGCACAGGTGGACCAAGTGGAAAACACACCCCAGTACAGTGGGCTGCATTTCACCCACAAGTAACTAAAGGCCATTCTGCACTGGATTTCTAAAACTTGCTCTCAGGCCGGAGCTGGGGAAACCTTTGGCCTGGACCGTGAACGCTAACAGCAATAGGAACTGTATGTTCTGTCTGGATGTGTCTTTTTTTAAAGACTGGATTTGGAGGGACAGAGATGGTTTTGCTGGGGATGACTGAGAGCCTGGGGGATACACCGAGGAGGGAAGGAGGAAGGATGGGAGGGGTGTGTGTGAAGTGTGCTCCCTTTAAGAGGGCAATAAGATTAGGAACTTTGGCAAATTTTCGGGCGTCTATTCAGAGTGGAAGAAAAGAGTTTCCAGTGCCAAAAAAGAGAGAGAGAGAGAGAGAGAGAGAGAGAGAGAGAGAGAGAGAGAGAGAGAGAGAGAGAAAGAAAGGATGGATGTTAGGAGACAAAGCACAGCAATTTTATACCTCGCTGGAAGCCGCGCTGGGAGGGCTGTGACTCCGCTGGGGTTAAGGGAGATTTTGTTCCATCTCATGAGCAAAGGTAGAAGTGGGGTGAAGGAGTTGAATCTGAGCTGCTGTTCCAGTCAGCTCTGTGCGGTCCGGAGGACACCGGGAAGAGGAACGGCCTGGAGAGAAGGAGCAGGAGAAGCCGAAGGTGAGAGACCATAGCATAGCCACCGCATGTCGGTTACCTGGTCACCCTGAGGCGGGAGTTCTAATTCCTCCTTCCTCTGAGGAAGACCACCTGGTTTGAACAGCTAGAAAGCTCGTGAGACTGCCAGATAAATATGGGAGCCGTAGTCTGCCTTTTCGCATTATCATTTGGTTTGTTTTCTAAACACCTTCCTGCCAGAGAAGCCTATAAAAGTGAGACAATTTTTGTTTGTTTGTTTGTTTGTTTTACGTTGGTTCAGAAAAAGTACCGAGGCTTCCTTTGGGATAATCACAGCGTTCACTCAAGCCTTATGCATTTATAAAAAGGTTATGGTCTCTAATTCCTAGCTGGTTCCTACAATGGCTGAGTTGAATCCTAAACTCAAATGATTGATCCATACTGAGCATCTCTGGCGTTCAAACCAAGCGTTAGCTCTCTGGGGCGGCATAGCATTGCTTCACATTTAGCAAATTCCTATAAAGATGGAAGTTAAAGCTCAAGTGAGTATCTTTTTTTTTTAATTAATTATTTTATTTCTTTATTTTGCAGGTTTTAACTGGAAACCCAAACCAAAAGAAAGCAACTGACCTTGAACTTTTTCTGCCGCAAAACTCCCCTGGATGCCCGCAGGCCATAGGCAAGCATGAGCTACTACGGCAGCAGCTACCCGATCGTGAACGTGGACCCCAAGTACCCGGGCTACCCGCCCGAGCACATCCTCGCCGAGAAGCGGCGGGCGCGCCGGCGGCTGCTGCACAAGGACGGCAGCTGCAACGTGTACTTCAAGCACATCTTCGGCGAGTGGGGCAGCTACGTGGTGGACATCTTCACCACCCTGGTGGACACCAAGTGGCGCCACATGTTCGTCATCTTCTCCCTGTCCTACGTCCTCTCCTGGCTCATCTTCGGCTCCATCTTCTGGCTGATCGCCTTCCACCACGGGGACCTGCTCAACAACCCTGACATCACGCCCTGCGTGGACAACGTCCACTCCTTCACGGGCGCCTTCTTGTTCTCCCTGGAGACCCAGACCACCATCGGCTACGGCTACCGCTGTGTCACCGAGGAGTGCTCCGTGGCCGTGCTCACCGTCATCCTGCAGTCCATCCTGAGCTGCATCATCAACACCTTCATCATCGGGGCCGCCCTGGCCAAAATGGCCACGGCCCGGAAGAGAGCCCAGACCATCCGCTTCAGCTACTTCGCCCTCATCGGCATGAGGGACGGCAAACTCTGCCTCATGTGGCGCATCGGGGACTTCCGGCCCAACCACGTGGTGGAGGGCACCGTGCGGGCCCAGCTCCTCCGCTACACGGAAGACAGCGAGGGCCGCATGACCATGGCCTTCAAAGACCTCAAGCTGGTCAACGACCAGATCATCCTCGTCACGCCGGTCACCATCGTCCATGAGATCGACCACGAGAGCCCTCTGTACTCCCTGGACCGGAAGGCGGTGGCCAAGGACAACTTTGAGATCCTGGTGACGTTCATCTACACGGGCGATTCCACCGGGACCTCCCACCAGTCCCGGAGTTCCTACGTGCCCCGGGAGATTCTCTGGGGCCACAGGTTCAACGACGTGCTGGAGGTGAAGAGGAAGTACTACAAAGTGAACTGCCTGCAGTTCGAGGGCAGCGTGGAGGTCTACGCCCCCTTTTGTAGCGCCAAGCAGCTGGACTGGAAGGACCAGCAGCTGCACAACATGGAGAAGGCGCCCCCAAGCCGAGGGTCCGGCCTGTCAGACACCAAGGTCAGGAGAAGGTCATTCAGTGCCGTGGCCATCGTCAGCAGCTGCGAGAGCCCCGAGGAGACGCCCAGCTGCGCCCTGGAGGAGTGTAAGGAAGCGCCTTACCAGAAAGCTCTCCTGACTCTAAATAGAATCTCCGTGGAATCTCAAATGTAGTCCCAGAGCGTCATTCCACCCCAGCATTTTGCTCTCTAGCCCATCACCTTCAGGCAGGTAGTTAGTTATAAATAAACAGGGCTTTTCAGGAATGTTAGGGCTGTGTTTGATTCTGATTATAAGAGCAGGTTAAACTTGATGAAAGATAATAAGAAATTATGTAGTATCCAATCAATTTTTAAAAAAATGTATTTTATTGATTTTTTACAGAGAGGAATAGAGAGTTAGAAACATCTATGAGAGAGGAACACCTATCAGCTGCCTCCTGCACACCCCCTACTGGGGAGATGCTGGCAACCAAGGTACATACTCTTGACCGGAATCGAACCTGGGACCCCTCAGTCCCCAGGCTGATGCTCTATCCACTGAGCCAAAGTGTCAGGGCTCCAATTAATTTTGTGTTTTTTTGCTAGCAAATTTTGTATTAGGGATGCCTCTAAGCGTCTAATTGATTAATATAAGCTTCATCTCCTTTGATGATTCCATATACTTGCATCTTCTATTGGAAGTATAATGTTCCATATTGGGGGAGAAAGGTGAAAGGTAGGATTCTGGAATAAATAAAAATAGAACAGGCAACCAGCATCAATAATACTAGTATTTCCTCTATTGTAATTCAAAGTATAATGAGAGGCTTCCTATGAAAATATTGTATCATCTAACCAAGACCCATGCAGGGCACGCATTTAGTAGATTGTCATGTTGCGATATTTAACGGTGGCATCAGCTTTCCCAATGGGGTTCCTCTGTTTGCCTCCCATCTCCCCAAGTGTATCTTGGCTTTCGCAGGAGGAGGTAGATGCTAAGAGGAATGGGCAGTGCCAGCAATTCAGACCTTTCACCACAGCCGCTTGCCCAGGTAATGGTCAGTGAGTGCCAGGGGCTATTTCTCCTCCAACCCATGAGGCAACAGAGAAGTCACTGTCATTATTCAGAGCAGGATTTCTCCCTCCAGTGCCCTGCTTGACTCCCACCAGGAAGGGCAGAGAGAGGAGGGCTGGCCTCTGAAGGCTTTCTGACAAGGGGCTTCCTCCACCTTCTCCAAGGAGGAGGAGGCAGAGGCTCACAGAGAGAGGGTAAGGCCTGGGCGGCGAGGAGCATGCTCAGGCTCAGGGAGAAACCTGTTCAGCAGAGTCCTCAAGGACTGCAGCTCTCCTGGGCAGGGGGGTGGAGGAGGGAGGAGTGCGGGGAGCATGGAGAGGGGAGAAAGATATTTATTTATGCCCAGTTATGTAGGCTGCCTGTCTTGGTCACTTTACAAAATTTGAACTACAGATTTTGAGAAAATGTTCCATTGAAATTAGAACAATCATTTAAATAGAAGATTTTTGTGAAACATAATTAAAGTGATTTAATGCACATTTTAAAATGGAGAAGCTCAGGGCTGTCCCATTGCTTGCATTTGAGGACATGAGCTATATCTGGCTTCTCTTATTTCCATGATTGCTTTAAATACAAATCCAATCACCTACGATGAAGAGTCACTTTGCTCCATAAACGGAAGAGTTATGAACTGCATTCAGAATTATCTGCATGTTTTCTTAACATGATTTCCGAGTTGGCCATCGGTATATGCCACAGTGTTTGGTTTGTTTATTTTATTTAAATACACACACACTCACACACACACACACACACACACACACACACACACACGTAATTTTGACCGTTTCTGGGCAATCTTCTTCTCTCAGTCTCTCTTTTTCTATTTAAATTAAAGCACACAAGTCAATTGATGTGAATCCCATTCTCCAAGATGACCAGTCAAAATAAAATACATAGGTATATAAAATGGTGTTCTTTTTTTATTTCTTGCCTTTTCCTTTCTCCTCTCTCTCCCTGCCTTCCTTTTTCCCTTTCCCTCTTTCTTTTGTTTGTGAGTGATAACTTTATCTTTTGAACAGAACATGTGCAAATCTTTTATTCCTGTTTTATGGATAAGAGAGGTGTGCATGTCACAAGCTGCAAACTTAGCATTGAGATATAAATAATGCATGTTTGCTGTCTGGCCCCAGGAATGCAGACACATTTTCCCTCATGCGTGCGTCTAGATTCAGGGTTTGCAGCCATGACCTGCTAGTTCCCTTCCCCTGTCCTTTGCTTCCCGGACTCCATCTCCCCAGACCTCACTTTGTGAGGAGCAGAATGGAGGCATCAGCGTTCAATGAGTGCACTCGCTTATCAAATTCTCTTACCCAGCACAGAATGTCAGCTAGGCATTCCCATCATATTTATCTCTGATGTTCTGTTTATTTTTATTACATGTTTCAACACCCCAATGAGTTACTCAACAATAAAGATCTCAAAATGCAGACCGTGCGCACTCCTGCCTGTGTTCCGTGTGGCGTGGACTCTGCCACTGTGCCAGCCTGGGCGCCCTGTTGTCGCTCAGGATGAAAAAGCCTGCAGCCCTCAGCCATCTCTCCGGGTTGGGCCAGCTGGGGCCATAGCTGCATCCGCATGTCAACTAGGTGCTTCTGTCAGCATCGCGAGAAGGCTCCCTGCAGAGTGGCATTTCTCTGTGTTGGCATAATTTATCCTAGTGCTATTGAATTGTGAACTGTTGGTTGTATTTCATTGCCTAAGCCAGTGGTAGGCAAACTGTGGCTCAGGAACCATATGCAGCTGGCATCTGTTGACTAATGAGTTTGCCAACCACTGCTGTAAGGCATTACCCTTACCCAGAAGTTTTGACTTCAGGTTAAAGACAGTAGTACATTATTAAAATGTTTTTTAAGTGTTTCTCCTTAAGGCAGTGGTTGGCAAAACAGAGTCAACAGAGAGGCAAACTGCAGCTCATGAGCAGCATATGGCTCTCGAGCCGCAGTTTGCCGTCCACTGGCCTAAGCAAATTCCCCAAAATACATTGATGCTCACAGAATCTTTAAAAAACAAAAAGCATTTCTAGCTTCAGACGCTGAGTCAAGGATGAGAAGGAGGTTGAATGTGTTTTCTTCCTTTCTCCCTGAAGATGGCATCACTCGGTGGACTTAGGTGGGACATCAGGGCATGGCCCCACCTTCTGTAGGCGCCCTCCCCAAGTGAGCGAGGGAGCACAGAGAGGCAGCTGGCAGATCTCCAGCTCAGCAGCTCTGGGAGGAGCTTGGCAAAGACCCACCGAATCCCCATGGCAGAACGGCGGGCAGATGGTTTAAGTCTCCAGGTCATCAAGTATCTCATTCTTGATTCTTTCTCATGACGTCCCAGTGGGACCACCATGTGCCCAGGTTAAAAAATAAAATGTCTGTGATGCTCTCCAGTCTCCCCTGCAGCTGGGGGCCTGGGGGCGGGGCTGGTGCTGATGTGGGGGGTTTCTGGTCCAGGAGATGCCCCCAGAACTCCAGATGAGACCTTCCAGAAAGGCTGGCTCAGCGAGCAAGTGCCCTCTCCCTGATGCGTGCCTCCTTCCGAACCTCACACCTGGCAGGTGCAGCTCCTGCCACCCTCTTGTGAGCATGAGGGTGCAGGGCACGCCTTCTGGGGGGACACTGAGGAGGGAGGACGGAGAGCAGCCAGTGGCATATTCCCTCTGCACGTGTGAGAGTGAGTATGGTTTCCCACCGGCACAGCGAGCAGCAGATGTGAGGGAGTTACACAAGGAACAGAGGCTGGTGAGGAGATGATGGACGTGCCCTCTGCGGAAGCCACTTGGTCTCTGGGAAGCTGAGGAAATGCCCGTTATTGTCAAACAAACACAAAAGAGGGACTGCTGGCTGGGAACTCCCTCCAAGGCACTGACAGCTGAGTGACCTCCATCAAAGGCCCGACCAGGCCCTGCTGCCCTTTACCTTCCTCTCCCCCTGCCCTGTCATGCTCTTCTCCCCCCAGTGATATTCTGTGTCTTGTCTTGCTGGGGCCAGGGACCTGAAACCCATGGAGACTCAGGCTCAGAAGCAGAACTCTTGGACTGTGTCTCCTGTGTCTCCTGTGTCTCCTACCCCCAGGGAGTCCCAACGCGTCCACATACCCAATTGTGCAAATATTCATTGGGGAACCTAGACCAGCCCCTGAAATGTGTGTCTTCCATTTCTTCTGAGCTGCCCGGGGTGTGTGCACAATGGATTCCCTGAGCCGCACCGAAATCCACCCGCGTACAAGATGCTCTTAGCTCTCTCCATGTGAGCATGGATTCCTCTGCTCTCAGTGCTCTGCGAGGCGTGCGTACCAGCCCGTGTGTGTGTGTGTGTGTGTGTGTGTGTGTGTGTGTGTGTGTGTGTGTGTTTGTATTTTATATAAGCTCTGCCTCTGGGCTTCTAGAAACCACCCCTGCACACCCTCGCTACTCTATAAATCACAGGCCCTCCCTCGGCGCTAAATTTGGTGTGGCCTCTTTCTCCCTTTCACTTTTAAAAGAGCAGCCTGACCCATTTGCCAGAGAAAATAACTTTGCCTTGCCTTACCCCCACTCCCCAAATCCTGTGGGGATAACACACACACACACACACACACACACACACACACACACACACACACATGCGGGAGAGAGAGCGAGCAGCAGGGAGGCGCTTGGCAAATTCCCTGCAAAGGTTCCCCTGGACTTGAGGTCTCTGAAAACGAAAGCTTGTCCGAGGGACTCAGTTCAGATCAATCTGTGGCCGGAGGGCAAGCAAGGCCTCCGACCCCTTTTCCTGAAGAGACAGAAAGCACCGAGTTGCCAGGAAACTACCCTTGGCCCGTGTGGCTTTGCAGCTTCTCTCCGGGAGGAAAACGTTGTGTCCCAGTGAGTTCCCACGTTCCTGCGAGGCACCCAGTGTCCCGAAGCCACTCCGCGCAGCCCCCTCACAGCTCCGTGGTTCGGTCGTGAGATCTGGCTGGGGACAGTTGGCATCCTGCCCCGTCACGTCACCTCGCACTGCGCTCCTTCCCGGGGAACGTTGGGCATCTTTTGTGTCCAGTTTGGAGACTTAATCTCAACGTGGCTACAGTTTCCAAGTTCAATAGACTCTTCGTGGCTGAGTCCCCAGCAGGGAAAATAGACAAAGGAATAAGCGATGGCCTCT